TATATTATAATTCAGGTTTTGCACTACACAAATTATAGAAATATATTGATGCAATTTCATGTTATGATTAAGCTCTTTCTATTAACATTAATCCTCTAAGATTACAACGAAAAGGTAAATCAAACTTTAATTTATATTTAGCTGATTCACTATTTGAATTAGGGAAGAAATCAGAAGCTAAACAATTTAATCTGGCTTCATTGGAAAAAGGATCTAATGATAAGATTTATATTTAGAAATAACTTTCAAAGTTATGAAGTAATATCATATTAAAAAAATATAATATAATAAGATCAAACATTTAATACTACACCAGATAATTTCTTTTCATTTTCAGAAAATTTATATATTCAATTTAAATCATTAAATAATGTTTAATTTAAGATTCCGTCTTAATTTTCTTTTCATTAAATTAATTCACTGTAAATTTTGTATTTTATAAGATTTTTATTCTTACTTACTTCATCTAATGATCATTTCTACTCTAGGATTAGGTTTCCGTATAACAAATTTTAATTTTATACTCCTCTATTATCTTAATTTTTCTCCTTGGAGTGCTCATTAAAAACAGATTCATCCTTACAATCTTTCCTGAAATTTTAAATTTTTGTTGTCTTTCACTTTACATTAATACCGTCTGAAGAATCAGTTTTAGTTAGAATGATAATAAAACTAAAAAGGAAAATTTTTTACTGTAAAAAAATTTAATTAGTATCAAGCCCTAAGGAAAACATGAAAAACATGTTCTTGATTTTACTTCACTAAAAGAAATTAATTAGCTAGGATGATTTATGGGAGGGAGTAAAATCTGACTAGTTATCCAATAAATATTAAAAAAGAGCATTTAAAAAATGATTTTCAAATATAGATGTCAGAAATGGTAGATTGATAATGCATCAATTCTTTGAATTGATATCTATTTGATATAGTTAAATATATTTATATTTAACTTAAAACCTAAGCTTAGTGAAGCAATTTTGATTGCTTATGATTTAAACCCTTTTTTCTAATAGAGAGGGAGATTTATATATATTGACCTTTAGCAAATGATAGGAACCCCTATTTCTTAAATACACTCAAAAAACAAGAAGGACCTAGAAATTTAATTATTAAATAAGGTTTAATGCTTCTAAAGCTAGAGCATTTCAAAGGCTAAATGAATTAAAAAAAATTAATCTATAATTAAAAAAAGAAAAAAAGGATCTTAAATTAAAGTCAATAATATTAAAATTAATTAGATAAATTCAGTAATCAGTTATAAGAAAACTATTAATAAATTTCATCACCAATAATCAGAAACAGATTACATGAATTAATCTAAGAACTCCAAAACTCAGGCTGATTTGCTAATATAAATCAAATCTGAGTATTCCCAGGCTAAAATAAAAAATTATTAAACCAACCCAATACTCTACAATAAAAAGAAATGTCCATCTCTTGAGTTGGAATGAAAACTTATAATTAATAAGCCTATAGAGAGAACTAGATAAAAGAGGCATAAAAAATAGTTTTTAAGCATAGCTAAATATCAAGGTAAACTTGAGAGCTAGGGTAAATAATTAAAATAAATAAGAAAACTCTTGAAGATCTATTAATGTAGAACTTTTAACCTATGTAAATTCTTTGATGGAATTTGAAAAATAGAAGAAACATAATTACTTTTATAAACTTGTTTGATAAAATAACAAAATAAACTTTCTCTAGAAAATTTTTTAGTTTACACCATAATTACATATGAAGGAGAAAAGGCTTTTGCTATAAATTTGCTAAAAAATTAAAGAGAGTCTTCAGTTGGTTGATGGGGAATGGTTGTTTTGTCCTATACATATCTAATTCGTTTTGACAAAATAGTTGGATGTGCTAACTAAATGAATTCTTGCCTCAAATTTGCATTTTTCTACTAAAGGATAGAGGAAGATAAGAAAGTAATTTATAAATGGTTAAAAAAGTGGGAAAGAGTAAATATTTATATAAGAAACTTTTCGAGGCCATTTAAGATGGTATTGTTTAGATTAAATTTTTTGATATCTGCTGTTTCTTTATAAATGAACCTGAAGTAGTTTAAATCAAAATGAAAGGCATTTGAAAACTTGAATCTGGCTCCAATTAAGTCAAAACAAAGAATAGAAATTTTTATCATAAAAAGTTAATTAAATCAATACACTAACGAAAATTATAATTTATTTATCATTTTGACTTTCAAAAATTTAAGCTAGTGATTCTAAGGGATAAATTATCTTCAAGCCTATTTATTGTAAATTTATGATATTTCAGACATTCAAAATTAAATAATATGGGATTTAAGTTTGAAGCATAGTGTTATTAAAAAGAATGTTGATTGCATATATTTAGGCTAATTAATTAAATATTCTATAAATAAATTTACCCTAACATCTACAGACAATTTGGCTGGAAATTTTATTTTTATATAAATTATAAATGATTAAATAAATTATCAGTTGATATTTTAAGGACCAAATATAAATAATTAGTAGCTCCATAATATTAACTCATACTCATTATAGATTTGATGTCACATAGGAATCTTTTAGAGAGACTTACATAAATTTAATTAATTTTGTAATAGAGAAAAATTAGCCACAATTTCCTCAAAAACAATTTACAAGACTTTTCTTGATTAAAGTTAATGAAATGTATCAACAAAAGCCTTTTTTAAAGTAAAATAATTATATTTTATAAATATGAACCTTATTACATAAAAGAAATTTCAGAATGTTGCAGGTATATTCTTTAATAAATTCTTTATGTTTTTGATTATATTTTGAATCATTCATATTAGTGTTAAGTCGTCCATTATTTTTTCAATTAAAAATTATATAACAATTTTCAAAATGTTCCTAAATTAATTATGTTATTTAGAATAGATTCATTAGGAAGGAAAATTCATAATAAAAGACCTTTTTTAACTTTTGCATATATCACTTTGAATTACACCTTTAAGACAATTCTAATTAAATTTTCTAAATTAATTAAAGTACGGATTTTATATCATTTAATTTATTCTTTAAGGTATGTTAGGAAGTATTTTGAAATAGCTTTAAACAAGCAAATGATTAAGTAGTTTTGAAATTTGAATCTACCTTTCCTGTTTATATCAAATTGTAGAAGGGTTTTGTCATTCCTATAAAACAAATGTAAGGATAATAACTTACACTCTGTCAAACTAATAATTAAAGTTTATAAAATCAAAAAAGCCTAATAAAATACTAGATCTGTTTCAATCAGAATGATGACAACATCATAAAAATCAAATAAAAGCTATACCTCATGTCCAAGTCCAGAGCAACTCCTTATCATATTTTTTTTTTTCAGGAGCAGCCAATAATAATAAATTTTCTCATTGTTCAAGTAACTATAATTATGAAAAATTTAGAGGATATATAATTTATTGTAAATTTTTGATTTTTCAATATTAAAATGAATTTTGTTAGGAATTTGAAAGAAACATTCCTAGTTTATTTTAGATTGTATAGAATAATGATTCTATATTATAATTCCAAATTTGTTAATTTTAAAATATGATCCACTCATCACCAAAATATATTAATACAAATCGTTATGTATATGGCATTATTAAATATAATACTGGAATATCCAGACTTATAAATAAAATAAGTACATCTAAAATATCTATTGATATGGGATTGGAATAATATAATATCGGGAGATGGAGAAGATTGATGATTAGTTTTATTTATAGCTATATATATGGTATCTAAACATATGGTATTAAAATTAGTTCTTAAAATGAATACTCTTACATTTATTATTATGATCTCTATATTTTTTTGATATTCCCTAATATTATTATACTTTTCAGCTATTGGAACATCAACATAATGTTATTAGTTATCTTAAGGCTTCAACAGTAGGATGGGCATTAATATCCCTAATGACATATGTGAACTATAATGCAATGTAATTATTTAGTATAGGATATCATAGTAAACAATGTAAAACTAAATATAATGTTGGTAAGTATGATATAGTCAAATAGATAATAGTAAATTTTGATATAAATTTAATACTTATGGTTTTTCTTACAATTAGAAATAAGTTGGAGATTATTTTATAATTTGGAAGATGAAATACTTTATAATAAATATTAATTGGCAAATAAATGAGTAATTTTTCCATAAAATTACACACTAATCCTAATTTTTTGAAATACCATCTATTTTGTAAAATTTGTTCACGACCATTTATATGTCTAGAATGTTAGAATGTTATGAATATTGAAAAAGCAGGTTTTACATGCAAATTTTGTATAAATATATTCTATTATTCCCTTATAAAAAAACACGCACAAAGATTCTAATAGATGTCCTGTACATTTTTGGTTCATTATAAAATTTCAATAATAGGAAGATTGGCTTGTGATTCTTCTGAGAGAATTGAAATCTGAATACGAAAAAAGGATATTATGAAGTCAATAATAATTATTATAGTTAATATAGGATTGTTAATTTTAGATTCTCCTTCTGTTAATGCTATGATCAATTAAATAAAAATTATAAATATATGGCATACTATTATTATATGTAGTTTTTATGATTCTAGTTAATTATTAATATAAAGGGATTGCTAACCTAAATGTAGACTTAGATATAACTATATAAAGAATATGAAGATTGTAATAATACTTTAAATGATTTATGCAATACTTGCCAATTTCAAAGTCCAAAAATTCTTAAATTTAAAATTAACTAACTACTTTACTTTGTCCAAATGCTTGTGTGAATGTAAAATCTTCATTTGATGAAGAATGTGATGATTTAATGATGTACTAAATGCATATTATCAGAAAGTGTTTTGAATGCTAAACTCTTGGATTACTTGCTGATACTGATGAAATAATTAATATCTGGATATTTAAAGAATAATATGGATATGTAATGATATTGAATAATCATTAATTAATTTTGATTAAAGTTTAAATAGTATATTGCATTTATGGATAAATTTATGCAATTCTGCAAAGCATAGCATTTATATTGAAAATTTTAAAATTGTAAACAACAATTTAAAGACTTTAATTATTGCAAATATATTTGTGTAGATAGATTAATTTTTTATGATCTTTATGAATATTATTCATTTTATATTGATGAGAGCAATACTAATAATAGCCATATGTGTAATATTTAATTTTCCAGTTGTACTGATAGACATAACTTACCTAATTATAAAATATGAAACATATTTATCTTATAGAGAAGCCAAAATCGTTCAGCAAGATGCTAAAGCCTTTGAATCAAAATGTCTATACTATATGTTGTACATTTAGTTAAACAGCTGAAAAGGGTTGTTTATTTTGTATACTTAGATATGTTAATTTAAATAATTTATTTCATTTTAAATTAGGGATCTTAATAATTACTGAAGTTGAAAATGAGATGATGGAAACTTAATTATGGAAATGCTAGATGTAATTTTGTTAAACCATGTCTCAGTAGCATCAAAAGATTTTGTTATTTATATGAAGATTAGGAGAATTAAACCATATATAAATTTTAGGGTAAGATTTGGATATAAATAGATAAATATCCTTATTATTTAGTGAACTAATGATCTTCTAGAAAAATTATTAAATGT